GAACTACATCACTATTTTGGGTCCAGATCTATGAGGTTGCAGCTAGACTGTAAATCAAGTAGTTAATATGAATCTTTCTGTAGGTAGATGGCAACAGAATTGCAGTGTTTACAATATGTCACAGTTACAAATGAATTTTAAGGATCTGCCAACTTCAATCACAAACTAACAGCAGACCAACTCAATCTTATTGCTGTTTCATCACCATCTTGATACACCAATGATGCTTTGAAGAAGAAACTAACCGCAAGTGGTCACAGACCTGGTCCCCATTTTCAAAGTAACCGTTTCAAAGGAAATCACAAGTTCACACTCATTTTGTTTGTGCCTCAGTATCCAACTGCTGTTTGCCACAGTGTGACTGTAGCGTAAGGAATAAAGTATAAAGGACATTTTAATTGAGCTAATAATCTCTTTTTATTGTGTATAACCTGAGACATAGGAAGAGCTCGTATAACTGTATTCTGTACAGATGTAGTCTGATCTTCTAACTTGTTTTAAGCAATATAACACGTTTCAACACATCTGGACCATTTTAGAAAAATATGTTGACATTTTGGGTTTATTCATATGCACAATTATACAAATGTGCATAGCCCGTGTGTCTGAGAACTGAAGCAGATGCCCTAAACCTGCATTCTTTTTCAATGGCCTCTATAGGAAGTCTGAGGGAAAACAGCCTCAGGTTCCTAACTCTGTGACATTTACCACTGAACTTATAGGGTGGTTGGTAATTTCAGATCATATGGAATAAGATAAACTACATTATGTTCATTATTGGAGCCAGAAAGGAGGATTATCCTGCTCAAAACTGTAAATTGTCTCCTTTTTAGGGCCTATTTTAACGTAAGAGTTTGCTACTACTACCAGAAGGGGGCGGTAATGTGTCTACAAGCCGTCTGCAAACTACCAATGATCAACCATAACAAAAAAAACACCACTTGCCTAGCTACCAGGAGGTGGACCTGAAAGTTGTGTGTGGTTATATTAGATTTTGCTATACAAAAGAGAAAACTACAAAGCAAAAAAAAAAAAATGCAGTCATCAAGGTTGTTGTGTGGACATCTTTAAAAAAATAAACCAAAATGAAATCTACTAAAAAACTCTGTTAAGTAAAGTTAGCATATCACAACTATACCATATTTCTACATTTACTATTTATGGATATTTATAAAGAAAGGGTGGTGGGGTATTGGTGGGTGGCATCCTCAACAAACCTGCTTTACTGCAATAATTATGAGAACTATGCAAAAAGCAATAAATAACGAAATTCGTTGGCAGTGCACGGGTATTATTTGGCTCCACTCTGTTGTCGTGTGTGACTCACTCTGAGGCGATGGCAGCAGGAATGGGCTCCTGTAGTAACTCCAGACTGTGAAGAATCCAGAAGCAAAGCCACGGTCGGCTAGCATCCAGACACTACTCGCACAGACACACACACACACAAAATCAAATGGGCATCACATGACCGATTACAGCTATAAATGAGATTGTGAGATCAGCCAGTCAGAGGCACAGATGAGAGAAAAACAACTCTGCCAGACACAGAAGGGGCAGGAGGAGGAAAATGATGGGAGTGAGCCACACAGAAACATCATACAAACTCATTTTCTGCAGTTGGTTAATGGACTTTATGATTATGTCTGCCATTTATGATGCAAATATTAGTTGTGTGATGCTTTTTGTGCTGATTTTATTACATATAATTCAAACTCAGTTTGTTCTCTTTAGCACTGCGTACACTTAACTACATAAATTGGCTGTCTGCCTGCTTTTGTTTGATCAAAGGAAACTCCACTGAAATAATGAAGTTACTGAGCTGAAGAAAAGGAGAAACACAAATGCTTTTCTCTCTTCTGGCTAGAGTAACAAAAAGCACACACATTAAAAAAGTAAAAGATAAAAAAAAGCAGTGACTTTGCCAGAAGCAGACAACTATATATTTTTTGGCCAATTGAAAATTGCAGCATTTCTATTTAAAGCAGAGGATAACAATTCGGCAGTTTTCCAGAGGCAGTGAGAGTTGGTGTCCTACTGTTCAGCACACGATATTAAGCATACACTCACCAGCCACTTTGTTAGTTACACACTTATCGGCTCGCTATTGCAAATAGCTAATCATTCAAACAATGAATGTGGAATGGTTGTGGCAGACCAGCTGATCTGAGTATTTGACAAACTGCTGATCGACTGGAATTTTCACACACAATCTTCTCTACAGTTTACCGGGAATGGTCGCAAAAAGAAAAAATATCCAGTCGGTACTAGTTCTCTGTGTGGAAATGCCTCGTTGATGTCAGAGGAGAATGGCCAGACTACTTCGAGCTGATAGCAGGTAAGCAGAAGTGCATCTCTGGATACACAACAAGCTGGTTCTTGAAGTAGATGGGCTACAGCAGGAGAAGACCACAGCGGTTGCCAAAATTGAGGCTCCAATTCACTCGCCAAAAGGCTCGCCAAAACTGGACAACAGAAGATTACTAAAACATTGCCTGATGAGTCTCAACTTCTGCTGAGACATTTCCATCCTGCATTGCATCAACACTTTGGGCTGGTAGTGGTGGCGTAGGCACACTGGGATCCAATTAATACCACCTGAGCGCCTGTTCACATTTTGGACAGAGAGGACAGATGGTTTGAAAGAGGAGTGAAACAGGCCATCTATGTCCACTGTGAATGACCATCTTTGAGCAGAAGTTGTGGCTTACGACACCAACTGTCTGCCATCTAAAATCCAGTGTCAAGATCCCTTCCCAGGTGCCTTAACGCCCACTCACACTTTGGGCCATTTGACCACAGTAAGTCACATAATAGGGTGGGGCAAGGTCTCACAATGAGTTCACCCGAAAACTTGGCTGATTGTGACCCAGACCAGTTTTCACACCATGGCTCGTGTGATTAGGCAGAGGATCAGTGGGGGTCCCACGACCCTCTTAGGGACACTCCCAACAGGGCTTAAAAATCTGGGTCTTTCCACCAGTTGCTCCGAGTACTGAAGAAGCTTCTCAAATGAGAGGTGAAACGTCTTCAAGAAACTTAAAGAAGTCCAGAGGCTTTTCCTTCCAAGACCACCTGAGCATAAACACTTACTGAACATTTTGCTGGCTGCTTACAGCATGATAATTTACCAGATCACAAACTTCAAATAATCTCAAACTGCTTTCTTAAACATGAAAACGAGCTGATTGTACTGAAATGGTCTCCAATGTCATCAGATCTCAATCCAATAGAGCACTTTTGTGCTGTAGGGGAACAGGAGATTCTCATCATGGATGTGCGATGGACAAAACCGCAGCAATTGTGTGATGCTATCATCTCAATATGGACTAAAACGTCTGAGCAATGTTTCCAGCACTGAACAGCTCAGCTCTGAAGGCAAAAGGAGTACAACTAATAAAGTGGCTGATGTGTGTAAATACAACGCCTACTTTGATTGAAATACAGGTTTATAAGAAAAAATAAAACTACATCTACATATCTACAACACATAATTTGTGTGTGTTTTCTTTTATTTATTAGTTATTTACTTTACCTCATAAGCATCTGATAAATGACGTAAGCCCTTCTTGAGATACTGGTAGTGTTGTTCCCGCAACAACGTTGGCCTGAAAAACAAACGCGGGACAAAAAGTTAAATGTCAGACAACTTGGAAAATATTTTTAAAAATAGATAAAAACAAAATCAGAAAAGTGTCAGTACTCATAATTTAAAAACTTAGACACACAATTCACTTGTTTTTCTAACATTTGTAAGTTTAAATTTAAAAAAAGAAGAACTGATTTATGTGTCAAAAATTAATTATTCACCAGGTAGCCCAAAATCTGAGAAACCCAAATAAAATGATCGTCCACGCAAGGGTTTGTGATCAAACTCTGCATTATTTATTCACTCGTTTCAGATATTCAGATCCTCAGCAGTCTAATTAGCGACTTCTGTTTATTTCCTTCCTTATTTTTTATTCACTTTCTATTAGGAGAGCTTTGAGGCCTGTCCTCATTAAGAACAAAAAGAAAAAAGAAACCAAAGCCAGGCAAACCAAAACATCAGCTTAGCCTTTCAACTTTTAAAGTATTTCTCAACGAAACTAAAAAAAAAAAAAAAATAATAAAAAATAGTCATCGTGTTTATCATATTTTTCTGCACTGTGTTTTTTTAATTTGTTGTCAATATTTTTAAGAGTTTTATGCATAAAAATCTATCTAGGGAGCAGCACCACAAACCACCCATTAATGCTGTGGTAAGTGATACTGGTCCATATCGTATTCTTGTCCCGAATAAACATCAAATTAAACTGAGGTAGACAATCACACATATTATAATATATAGAAAATTAAGGCAAAAACTAATAAAAATAAACATATGAATGAAAGAATGCCTTAAAACACTATCACAGAATGACAGAAACTAAGGAGCCGCATAGTTAATCTTTAAATGTTTGAATGAAAATTCAGTCTGCAGCTCTTCATAAACACAAGTCTGACTCTATATCTGCATCAATGACAACTGATACCCACCCACTCTGATCCTCTGCTTGACCTTTCCACACAGTGTTCGCTACACCTGTTATAAAATGCGCTTTCTACCAACACAGAATGAGTCACAGATCACTACATGACAGAAGCAGAGCTCCACATCTAAAAGCTGGTCTGCCCACCACACCAAATATATGTTCAACCCACCCTTTTAAATGCTGAGAGCTCGACAGGCTACACGCAAGTGTATACAACGAAACCAAAAATTAGTGAAAGAAAGAAAACAAAAAATACAAAATGATCAAACAAAAATACAACTATAAAAGATGGGGGGAAAGAACAAATTAAAGAAATAAATGAATGACCAAACAAATAAATAAATAAATAGAGCAAAAGAAAAAGAAAACAAATGACCAAATGACCAGAAGGAAAAAGAAATTAATGAAAGAATAAAAGCTATGGAAAAGAACAGTGAATAAAAGAAGGAGAGAAAGAATAGAAGAACTAAAAGAGAAAGAAAGCACATAAAGAAAGAAAAAATATTACAGGCAAATTATCTAAAGAAATAAACTAATGAAGGAAAGAAAAACAAACAGTGGAACAAAAGATGAAGGCACAACAAAAAGATATTTTTACAGATTGCTGACATTGGTTATAGGTTTCGTCGACCCAGCTAACTCAAAGAACTTGCCAAACTTGCTTTGTCGTACCCCCATCAGGACATTTCTGTTAGAGCTTGTAGCTGTGGATTCCTTAACCAGAGGCGCTGAGGGTTAAGACCCGACTTTCAAATCCCTCCTCAAAACTTATTCTTACATATAAGTAATTACTTATAAGTAATTTTTAATAATAAAAATGTTCTCATTCCTCCTTTATTTATTCTTAAATACTTTATTTTACCCATCCTGTAAATCACTCACTGTTTTTATATTTCATATGATCCATTTATTATGTCCTATAAAGCACTTTGCAACTATGTTTTAAAAAGCGTATCTAAAAACTTTAAAAAAACCTGTTCGAGGTCAAGTCTCGGCAAAGGCTGAAAAAACAATTATCACCACTGAAAGCAGGACCTCAGCTGATGAATATCACGGATTCTTTAGTAGTACTAAAATGCATTTCTCCATTGGTTGCAGTACCGCTGACATTCACATCTAGCAGTTGTCATAGAAATGAGATGAGTCACCTCATTGAGAAGCGACGGCAGCTGATAGCAGAAGCAAACTACGTGGGCAGATCTACTCGCCGCTAAGATAACAGCCATCGTGCATCACAGTGCAGCCTTCTCTAATAGCAAACAAACAGCAGGTGTTTGTGGGTAAAAAAACATAATAACAGCTACAGCCAATAATGGTGTTCCTGTAAATGCCTCATAATGGCTGTTCATGTAGTCACCTTTATGAGTGACTGATGAATAGGTAATTATTATTGCTATGGCTACACAACATCTGGCCTACTTGTCAGCAAGAGTCTGAAAATGCACACTTTTCTGTCATAACCAGGCCAATTTAGTGTCCTGGTTTCAGGTAATGACTTGACTGAGTCTTTAAAAAAAACAAAAAAAACCCCAACAAAGTAAGATTTTGAGATTTTTCTAAAGAGACAAGGCAATTCTACTTTTCTGTTTCAGAAGAGTCACCTGACAAGGAACTGCAAAGAACCCATCCCGTCTCCTTCTTTTTCAAACATCAACATTACCCATAAATGACTCAATCCCACATATAGTGAAAATACTTTGGGATGCACTGAAAATTGGTATTGGTCGACATTTTCTTTACTGTCTGCTATCGGTCCATTGGCAAATAAATTGCCAATCAATGATGGTAGTGTTTATCACCTACATCCTTACATCTGTGATCTACTTTCCTCATTTTGTATGATGGAATGTGTGATTCTAAAAATGTACTGCAGTGTGAAGGAGGACTTCAAATTGTTAATTGTTCCCCTTGGACAAAAGGAGAAACAACCCCCCTCCTCCTTTGGCGGATATCCAAAATCTCTATAATCTATAATGAGAGCTCATCACTCCCCGCAAACAGGATAAACATAGAAATTAGTGGGAGATGATTAAAATTCTGGAGCCTACAGGTAGATGTTGGTGCAGTTTAGGGATTGAAAATGTTGGCAGCAACACATGGCAGCATCAGCATTAACATGTCAAAGGGAGAGATGGGGATTTGCAGTTTAATTAAACATTCATATCTGAAGGTGGTGTTTGATATATGAAGTGAGGAGAACGAGGCACATCACAGGCTGTAGTGGGCTGAGCTGTCTGCCTGAAAAAGCTCACAGATTCTGCTCCATTGTATTCTACAACACACTGCGGATACTTACTGTGGTAAGCTGTGTATTTGCTTGTAAACACTCATGACTTCTTGAATGGATTTCTCCACCTTTTTCTAATAAAAGAGAAAAAAGCAGCATGTGATTGGTTGTTATGAAGCTTATTTTGAGGGGAAAAAACATATTTTAGGCATTTCAGAAAACAGAATTATTTCCCATTTAAAAATCTGGACTAGGATCAGCCACAAAATCCAGAAAAGGTGCGATTGATGTGTAAACCCCTGAACATTCACAGCTCATGTTTGTTTCGTGGTCAAAACTGTCAACTCAATCAATTCAAAACATAACCTCATATTTGTGCCTTACACATGACCTATATTATGGAAAGTGACTGAAAGAGTGTGAGCTACTTTATCAGCGTTAGGAGCCAGGAATATTTCAAACTTCTATCATAATCAAATGGGGATATGCTACAATATGCATACATTTCTGATTGTACTGTTTTTTTAAGTGTATGGTGTCATCAAAAGGGGTAAAAATCAGCAAAATTAGCAAAAGCAACAAGGCACCTAGATGGACACTGTCATTCCACCTGATCTAGTTTTATGTATGTTTGCAGAGACCAGAAACATAAATAGTACATCTTATAAGTTACATCATAACTCTAACATAACTATCATAATAGTTATTTTAAACTATATATGACCATTTAACAGTGTATCTGTAACCTGTATATTTTCATTATCTTTTTCTCATTGCATCTTTCTCCTCCTCTTCTTCATCTGCCTGATCCACCATCACTGCTCTCACTTCCCTCATTTCTACCTCATTTCCTAAGACAGCCAGGTCTTCATTTGTTCACTTGGCACTTTTAAATGCTTTCCTAAAGTATGAACAAATTCAGGTACTAAAATATTGATAAATCACTGAATTGTGCATACCCACTGTAAGAGACAAACAGTGATTTTGACACCCTGGATTAAGATGTGTGTGCATGCTGCAGCAGCTGTCGCACCTTCCCACACAGACTCGAGAGAAAGATCTCTTCTGGATTGCAAATAGCAAAAACGTACATTACAATAATGTTTGCTCCCCCCCCCGAAAAAAATGAAAGATGAACTTTTTGATGAAATGAGCAAAAACGGCAGTCTGAACCCTAGTTTCCTTTTTTATTAATGCAGTTCTAACTTGTGCCTTGACTGAAGTGATAACTGTTACTGGATCTGATCTAAAATGATTGCAGTGGAGTAACTTTCAAGAACAGTGCCCAGGATGCAGATGTCCAGACGCTGTCAGAAATTGACTTGTTATAAGGTTTTTTCAAAATAAAAGCCCTCTCCTGCTATCATGTTTTAATTGGGAAGAAACTAAAGACAAAGTTAGACTTTAGGTCATGCCCAGGCTTAACTATTTTAATTAGTTGGCTAGCAGCTAGCTACATTCAAACTTAATCTCATTAAGGAACAAAGCTAGCCATCCATGGGCTAAATTGATAAAGCACGGCGAACTAATGCCCGCAAACAAGTTTCTGATTACTTTTTCAATCAAAGTGCCGACATTTTAGCAATATAACGCATTGTGTGTATGGCAGCTGAGTTTCTGTGCACTTTTCTACACCCAGACTGGAGAGCCGCACGTTAGCATTAGCCACACTGTCTTATAAAAAAAAAAGAAAAGCTAACGCTCGTGTGCTTACCTGCTCCACAGAAGTCACCGTCTCTACCCCGTCATCCAAGAACATTTCTGCCGATTGCTGCTCACGGAAACACCACAGAGGGTTAGGCATGTTGTCCATGGTGGTGAAGGGACCTCTTTAGATGTGCGGACGCTCTGAGTGAAGATATAATTTTGTCGCTATTGGTTTGTTTTGACAGTTCACTCACACTTTCGCTGGACTCCGCTCACTTCCTGTTGGGCGGAAACTGCGTGGATAACTGTTACGGTGTCTCCAAAGGAACAAACTTCTTTAGTGGCGTTTTATTCACTGGATGCGAGAATGTAAAGAAACGAGCAGTGCCGCTTGGAAAAGTGGTAAACATACATTTTAAGTGTTTATGGGCGTGTGTATTGTGACCATTTTAATTTCATTTCATTAACTGGCATTCTGAGAGTCAATGTAAAACAGGTTCTGCTGTTGACCAATGGTATGTATGGTAAAATACCCGGTGGGGGGGGGGGATACCGGAAATAGTTCCGTTTTGACTTCCAAATTAAAACAGAAAGTTATTTAAGGTAAAAATCGACCACCTTTAAGAAAGGGTTTCACGGTTACATATAACAAATTCCCCTCTCGCCCCTGCGGGCGGTCTATCGTTCAAACTTGTGTCCTCTACCAGACGCCTGGGAGGTTGAGGGTCCTGCGCAGTATCTTGCTGTTCCTGGGACTATGATATATACAATATAATAGGACTGTAATTAATTGCATATTTGTTTGTTGATGTTATGTGCATATGTTAAGAGGTTTAATTAAGCTTTTGCACATTTACTAAACTCTATTTTTCAGGCCCGGTGTTCTGACAAAACGTCCTACTTTGGCAAAAAAAAGTAAAAAGTCGTTTATGCACATTTCTGCTGTCACAGAGTCATTCCAGCACAAATGTAAGTAGGTATGACGGTTTGCCACTTAACTTTGCCCATCAGAGTATGCTTGTAGCTCATAATTATAAAGCCAGGACGGTTTGCCACTTCATTTTAGCCGTTAAAGTATGCTTGTAGGTAACATTCACAAAGGTAGCATGGTTTGGTCCTGAGTAAAACTTTAGGCCTATAATTGTTGTTGTTGTTGTTGTTAGTATTATAGAGATGACTCTCTATCAGACATATACATTGTTATATATTAAGTGCTGAGAATTATTGCATGTGGTATGAAAGATTTCCTACGTCTGACCTTGTAGCAGTATAGCTGGAACAGTCTGTTGTAGATCCTGTCTCGGGACAGATACAGGCTGTATATCCAACCCATCTCTGTGGCCCCTAGCCCTGTAGATGCTACAAATAATAATCTACTCAAAGTAGAAGTAGCTTATATGATTGTTTGGACTTGATTGTTATTATTATTATTATTACTGCATCCCAGAAATGTGCTGCAAGACACCAATAGCACCATACCTTACTAAAGAAAAAAAAAAGACAAGCTTTATGTCTTTTCCTAGCTTTAGAAACACGTTTTTAAACAACCAATTTATGTTTTGTAATTCATAAACATTTTTAGATTTTGTTTTGGCAGATTTAAACAGCTAAAGTCTGGGAAATTTTGGCCTGGTGTATTATTTGTTGTCACTATCAGAACTTTTACAGCCAAAAGCGTGTACAGAACATGTTAAGATTCAAAACTAGTAGCGCGAAAGGGCCACTTTTATGTTGGAAAAACATCACCGGAAGTGTCTTTTTATCATCGAGTCTCACCTGACAGCGGTCCACCGCGCCCAGTGGAAGCTGGAGGCTGACTGTGGAGCTGGGGCATCCTTGTTTTGTTAACCACCGACCCAACACCAGTGAGCAAAAAAAAAAGGAAAAAAAAAACCCAAAGTCAAAGCCGTTTATGCTGAGCTTCTGAGCAGATATGGGATGCAGGTGGGGAGGGGTCGCTCGTCCATCGCTGAGTTAGCTGACTCCGGCTTTTATATTTCAATAATACGTGCAACACTATGGCTAAGCAGTATGATGTGCTCTTCCGACTCCTGCTTCTCGGAGATTCTGGGGTTGGGAAAACATGTTTGTTATGCAGATTCACGGACAACGAATTTCACCCATCTCACATCTCCACCATCGGTAAGACGCTGCACTGCCAGCAGGACTCGTTTGTTACCTGTTTTCTGCACTTCATGTTGATCAGCTTTCTGATTTATCCTAACCTTCTTTCATCGTTTTATGTGTGCGTGTGTCCCTTTTTTTGTGGCCAATAAATTTTTACCAATTAGATCCAGTAAGGTTGAACGGGAAAGTGCTGCGTTATTATTTAACCATAGCAGTGAATTCATACAGCAGAAATAGAAAAGCGTGATTGGATTGTTTGGAGAAGCCCTGAGAGGGGAAGAGCCAACACTTGGCAGCCATGCAGATGAGTTCACCAACTACCAGCACTTGGCACTGACTATGCAAACGAGTGCTATTCAAAAAAAAAAAAAAAAAATTCATATATATACATATATGAATGAGAAGTGGACGTTTTGCATCAGCATCCTTGTTACCGGTTGAACTGGGGCCCTGGAGTCAGCAGGTGTGCATTAATTGGCTGCAGGTGGTTTCTGATCAAAGTTCCTTCTCAACTCAATGCCTGGCACAAATTTAGTGACCCATTCTGTGAGGTCTTTAAATAAAATGTAAAATCTTGTAAAATGAGAGTTTGTCAAATGATTAAAACTGCAAACATCACTGACTAAATATCAGTTACACAATCCAGGTATGCACTAATCAGATGTTCTCTCTGTGACTGACAGGGCTGACTCTGACATCTTCAGCTCCTTCTCTGTTTGCAGAACAAACTCGTAGATTTGCCACTTCCCTGTCAATGACTATTGACTTAGCAAAGCCGAACCAGCCTTCATTCTCATAGTTAATATGGGCTGTGCGCTTCGTAGTTTGGATTCAGAGTCACGACAGGCGCATTACCGTGTTTTCCTTTGAGGTGAGGGAAATAAGGATATACAGTAAGCAGTGGGTTTTACTCACATGCTGCTGCAGAGTCTGCAGGCTGTGTTCTCTGTGTGTGTTTAGTTAATAGAGAGATCTGCAATTTGCCAGAAATGAAGAAGGGAGCATACAAACACTGCCGTGGCTGGTGGGTGAAGAAAAAGTCAGGAAATGCTCCTGCTGGTTGTGAGTGATAACTGACTCTTGTAGTGAAAAGACACACAGAACATGTTGTCCAGATAAGGTCGAGGCAGTGAATCATGAATCCGGTGCTAAGCTATGTATTTACAGGCGGATATTACTTCACAAGATCCAATATAAAAAGGGAATAAGAACACGACTGTGTCTCTATTTGTTTCTTCCTTTTTATTTTTGGACTCCTTTAGTAGTTAAATAAATGTCTTTGTATTAGTTTGAATAATGCTCCTGTAAATAATCCACACTCTATTAAGCTCAAATTCATTTAAAGGCTTGTCTTCCCTCATGTTTTTGCCAGCCAGATGTGATATATGCCCACATGCATACAGCTGCAAAGGCTGCAGTATGCTATTTTAAGTCCTAGACCTATAGCACTCCACAGGAAACTTCCACCCTGGAGAGAGTGATGCTTACAGCCTATGCAGCAAGCCTTTCTCTTGTCTCTTGTCAAGGAAAATCCCAGCTGTTTGTGTATGTTGAAAATGATGAATATATCGATCTTTTTGTGCTTTTGTTAGACCATACCCAGTGTTCACAAGCACAGCTGGATGTGGTAAGAATCTGCCGTCTGGCAGGTAGTGAAATCCAGACTCATACGGGCCAGAGGAGCTGTTGGCAGCAGGTGGTGCCTATAAGCCACACTGAGAGGTCTTTCATGAAATAATTAAAAGTTAATTCTTCTGATAAACAGGGCCCACAAACTCCAAAGGGAAAGAGAGAGCAGGAGCTCAAGAGTGACCACCATCAGTGCTTTCCTTCAGCGGTTCAATGAATCATTTCCCAACCTTCACGCTGACAGAGGGATATAAATTCTCTCCCCTGTCCCCCTCATTGGTTACTCCATTATTTATCACATCCCTTTACGGTTCACTCATTCATTTTCCCGCTCCTAATTATCCCAAAAACTGCTGCTCCCATGGCTTCTCATGTCTTCATAAAACACTATAAAAACCTGAGTCTCTCATTAAGCTGATGCTCCTGCTGTTACTCAGAATGCTACAATCACAACATGCAGACATTAACAGCTCCTAAACAGTGTGATAATAAATAGATATTTATAAGTATGTGGATACCTGAAAACATATAGATTGCTGTTGTTATACTGTAGGCATTAATCTGCTGCAAGGCATTTGAAGACAGTGGATTTTCTCCCATATAGCCACAAGAGCATAAATTAAGGTTGTCAGCTGTGACTTGTGGGAGAAGGGTTTTGGTCCAGGGCATTTTAAGTGTTTCCGCACCTGAAATCCATCAAAACTAGCTGTTTTGGTGGATTTCAACTAGCTGTTGTTGTTTAGCTGGCATTGCGTGGAGAATATTGTCATGTTGACATGTTGTTGAACTAACAGGCTTGGTTCAGACCAGAACTACAAAAACATAGCTGGGAAAACACGTCCACTGTTTCTAGAACTACATTTTCCTGTCAAAAGAGCTTGCAAAGAAAAGCGTCTGGACTTCTTTAAGTTACTTGAAGACGTTTCACCTCTCATCCGAGAAGCTTCTTCAGTTCTAAGGTCAAATG